GCTGCTGGTGCCGGCGCGGCAGCTGGTGTCGTGGGGCGCGGCGGGGGCCATGGTGTTCGGCGGCGTGGTGCCCTACGTGCCCCAGTACAGAGACATCCGTCGGACGCAGAACGCGGAGGGCTTTTCCACCTACGTCTGCCTGGTGTTACTGGTCGCAAACATTTTGCGGATACTCTTCTGGTAAGTTGGTTTTCTGTGTGCGTGTCCGCCCAGTGCTGAAGGTTCTGACTTGCTTGCTAGTTGTAAAGCATTGTAAAGATTTGGAATATGTGAGGAAATGATGTTTTACATGCTTTTCCCCCTCTCTTGAAGATGAAAATATTGCCTTCCCATAAGGGGTTGAATCTGCGTTGATTAAAATGAACTGGGCTCACGAGTGCTGTCTGTTACCCTTGCCAGATCTGATTATCAGTGCTCTGATGTTCCAAGATGCGACTTTTTAACTTGTTGGTAAAGAGGTTTATTCGAAGGCAGATCTCTTTTCTTGCCGACTGTATTTTACATTTCCCTTGCCCCTCTAACTCTGTTCTCACAGTGGAGGCCCCGGTCCCGCATGCTTATTCTAGCATCTAGTTGGTATTAATGTCATTGGGACACTTGCCATATGTTCTTGCATTTTCCCGGGATGCCAACTGGCTTCAGAGAGGGTTCACTTCTAGAGCTCCATGGACAGCTACAGATGAAAATACTCATTCTTTGATAAGCAGGCAAAAGGTGGGCCATCTTTCAAAGCAGATTATTTTTGTTTTCAACACCACTTTCAGTATTTAAAAGCAAGGTTGTTTCCATGTTTAGGTCTTGTGCTGCTAGACAAAGAAGATGTTATTAGGGCATGATTCCCGTGAATGAATTTTATTAACTTGGATTCCTCATTACTTCTTATAATATAGATGCTACAACACTGGGAGTGTACTTAAGAAACCAAAGATGAAATAGTCTGGGAAATTTCTGCAACTAAGAACAGTTATTCTAAGAATATTTTCACTACAAAATGCTGCTTTGTACTCCACAAAGAGCTGATAGGTAACGGGCTATATCCTTTCCAGTCTCTTTTTAAGGCTCCTCTGACTCTTTAAGTATAAAGAGCTTCCTGGATTCTTCTGCAGCAAAATGTAATGTGTAAGTGCTGTGCTGGAGTGGAGAAAACAGGGGACCTTCTCTTGGGACCACAGCTGGCAGTCAAACTGAGGAGTCATCACTAGATCAGAGCTAGGTGTTGCATTGGACCTATGTTTTCCTGGTGAGAAGTGCACGGACCAGAAGCGAAGTAGAGGAACTGGCCAGGGGGAGGAAAAGTGAAAAGCCTGAGTTGACAGTTTGAGAAATAGAAATGGTCTAATTTTTTGTTTCACTGGAGGTAGTTGAAATACACAAATGATTTGTACCTGAATGGAGATGCTGGCAGTATCCAGGCGAGTGCATCTGTTAAATGAGACTTGGACTATGGAAGAACTGAAAAATCTTTAATTTGAGTTGATTTTAAGTATATCTAGTTAGGAGATGTGCAAAAGAATAAATATACGAGTAATGAAAAGTTATAATTTATGTCAATGTTAAAAGATTTGTCAACACTTCAAAAGAGCGAGAATGCAGTTATATTGACAAGATTATGTAATTTTTCACTGTGAGTATTTGAGCCACATGATAGTATCACTCCCTGACACATACTAGCTCTGTGCAGGCTCTGGTCATCTTGGAGCTCGGTGATGGCAGGGAATGGCTTCAACCCAGCAGGTGCCTAGGTGTCTCTGGCTACAGGGGGAGGCGCGTAAGGCGTGCTGCTGGCTTGTGGTACAGCCACTTCTATGGGGAAATGTTGCAGGCACGAGCCTGCAGAAACCTTTCTCTCTGTACTTACAATGAATTGTCTCTTTCTAGTTCTGTTGAACTAAAAGACAGAAAAGAAGACTTGCATAATGATAATTCAGTGTTCCCTGAGAGAGACTATTTTGCTTCTCTCCTTATAAAGGTTAGGCAGCCCTGGTAGTTCATATAAACACCAGTAAGTCGTGAAAGCAGCATCGAGGGTGGATATTATCCTTGGGCATGTGGATGATTAAAGGAAGATAACAGAGCAAGAGCCTCTCATTTCTGTGAACATGTTTAAAATGCACCCGTAGAGCAGCTTGGCAATTCAGTTTTTGTATTAGTTGCTTACTGTCACCTATGGCTGATGTATTATCTGGGACTCAGCACTAGATAATTTCACATAAACAGCAGAATTATTTTAATTATGCATGTAATATTCATTGGAGAGAATGAGAAGGTGTTTGTTTATTTTGTTTTAAATGTGTTAAATAATTTGATCCATTCTTGTGCTGGAACAGGACTGTTCCTACAGGTAATTTTACTTTGTGTATAATTTTTCCCCAATCTGACTTTCAAAGTACCAGTTGATAAGATTACTCCTCCTTCCCTTTAGCAAACCAGTCCAGACCTTAATCCAAGTCTCTCTTCTGAAAACTTTACTGACATATAGCTGCTGTTTCCAATTGTTTTGTTCCTCTTCATTACCCCTGCTTATTAAGCATATGATTTGTGCCAGACTCATCCCTCCTGACTTCCCCTCCACCCTGATCCAAAAATAAGTACTTAAAGTGGTAGACCTTGAAAACTTTCAAGTTCTAATAGTGTTGCTTTTCAGGCCTTAATTATTTCTTAGGATGGCTCTTGTTTGTTTGTGTGTTGGTTTTTTTGTTTTTTTTTTTTTTTAATTTCAAAGACATTTCTGTAATTTGTTTGTGTTGTTACTTCCAGATTTTCCCTGAATTTCATGGTTACTTGAATTTGAGGCTCACAGAGTGGGATGCATAGGCAACGGGAACAGTTATGCCATATTTCCTCTGTATTTTCACTCTTGAGTAGTGCTGGTCTTTCTGCATCTCTGTCACTCATAACAGACCCAGTCCCACCTTTCCCCTATGGCTCTACTATAGTTTGTTCACCTCAGCTGTGGGGGCAATTCCCTCATTTCCTATTTGTGAATTGGCAGATTCCAGGGGTTCCTAGAACTGTACTTTGTTATCTTAGAGGTTTTGTTTGTTTGGTTTGGTTTTTTTTTTTTTTTGGTAATGTCTGGTTTTGCAGTGGGTGAAGTTTGACCTTTTGTCTCCCCTCCAAATAGAGGATTTACTTCCTAATTGTTTCATGTGTCAATAGAGTTGCAGCTGGTGTATTGCACTATGACAGTAGCCAATGAACGAAGTACTGCTGAGATCAAGGATAACAATCCTATTTCCAGTTACCTGTTTTCACAGTTTCTCTCCCTCCAATTAGACTGTCTCCAATGGTAAGCCATCTTTTAAAGTCAAGAGGACTCAGTGCAATGCCTCTCCTCCTTGTCTTCCTCCCACCTAATCCCTTAGTTTTAGGGTGTGCTCGAAGAATATCTGTTTGATAGTGATGACAGTAACACATTATCCATTAAGTCATTTTTCATGCTTCTCTCTTTCACAATGTCTCAAAATGTCATCTTTAAGGAGACATTTCTCCTTTCACTTATGTGTGTTTGGCCTTGCTCTGTTCCAACAATGAGTTATATGCCAGACCTTTGTGGAAAAGCAGTGGGAGAAGACTGGTCTGCAAGAATGAAAACTGCATATGGATAGCAGCGGGCATGATTCCACTTTGTTTATGACTGTATGTGAAATCTTTGGCCTTTTTAAAGAGGATTCTGAAAAAAAAAAATTTGAGAAGTAGACAGTCTGTGCTCACAGCATCACACAATGGGGTCTCTGTTTACCCGTGTGAAAAGTAGATTTTGTGCTGTGACTGGAGTTGGTATCAAGTTAGCTTTATTTTTAGTAATAATCTGTTGTTATAATTTTGTACGGTGCTTCAAAGCAGCGCTTATTTTGGGGTGCCAGTGTAGCTGCTGATCATGATTTATGATTGGTATCAGCTGCTCCTTTGTTCTAGTGTTCTGCCATTGTCAGTGCTGCTTCTCCTGTCTGCCTTCTTCAGACCCCATAGGTCATTGTTTCTCGCTCTCCCATCAGTTCAACTTCTGGACTGATCAGCCTGGAGAAGATCTGCGCTGCAGGTGAAGAGGAAGAGCCAGTGCAAAACTCAACGCCTTTGTAATTCCGGTACATGTGAAGATGTATGGCATGCTCCAAAAAAACTGATATAAATTTTTTTCCCTGCTGCATTTTTAATAAAACACTTCATTACCATTTTTGTTAGCTAATGTCTTAGCTAACTCTAGGAAATACCATCTGATTCTTGTTCAAGACTGGTTGTTAAAATATCCAAGGGATACTCTGAGTCTTACTAATGCTTGAGCTTTGAGGCGGTTAATCGTCTGGTTAAGCTGTCCTAGGCTGTTTTGAAGTTGTGGGCCAGCTTCAGAGCGCACCGAGGCACTTGAACTCGGTTGTGACCAAGACAGACCTATCTTCTTGGTTCATGTGGCGTGCAGTCTGCCAGCGGACTAGCTTTGCATTGTCATCCTCAAGAACAGGAACAAGAAGGCGGGTGAGAGTTGTGTAATCAGTTGGGGGTGGAGGATGCAGGAAAACTTACTTGCGAGTTCTCCCTCTCTTCCCCCTTTTTTAAAACAGAGCTTATGATGACATAAATTATGGTTTCTTTTAATACTAAAATCAGAATAAATAGCTAGAGGAAAGGGAACTACAGATTTCTTAGAAGTCAGCAGTAAGCATTTTTATTTGTATCTAGAGTAAGTTCAGCCAAAAGTACTTATGCTCCCTGCTATTCTCAGAGGTTTTTGGACTTTTTTTCCAGTTTTGCAGTCCATAAAGTGTTTTATGTAGTAGTATAATATGGTTTATATATTTTTCAGGAAGACAATATTCTTTCCAAAAGTTTCGAGATACAATTCTGTGGGCCACTGGCCTAAACCTCATACAGCAACACCATAGAAATCCAAATAATGGAAAATAAAACTTTCCAATTTTGGAGTTGTTCTTACAAAATAGTTGCCTTAAGACAAACTGTGGAAACAAGTTCTGACAGTCAGGGAAAGGATGAAGACTATGGAGTGCGTTATTTTTGAGCAAAGCTAACCCTCTACCTGTTCCACATCAGTTCACCTAAAACAAAGCGGGTTCTGAAAACTGTAATGTCGGTAGAACTGGGAGCTCTCTGTGCCGGAGTCAGTGGAATAAGCTCCCTGTTAGGAGTAGAGGTTTACAGAGACAAGTATGCAGCTGGAGGTAATTTACAGGAAAATGTTGGACTTGCTGTTGTCTGGGGAAGATTCCTATATACTTGTTTATTTTCCTGTAACACCTACAGTGCTACTTGTGGATCAGGTCACGGCCATCAGGTGTTGCTTTGGCTTCAGATATGGGGCCAGTGGTGTCTGTCTGTAGGATGTCCTGTGGGAAGGAGAAACTTTTGCTTTTAAGACTTCTTTTACTAAAATGGATCTTGCCAGCTTTTACCATGTGGGGAAGGTGGGATGATGCTGTAAACCAAGCTGACAGAGTGACTACAACTTTGAAAGATTGCGTTACATATGGCCTGCTGGTGGAATCTTGCTCAGATACTGAGAGCAAAAGCGTTATGCAATTCCTCCTTCTTTTTATAAATGCCAGAGAGCGAGGATAAAATGCACTGCTCTTTTGTACAAAAAGTAAAGGTGAAGTAGGATTTTGTATCTCCAAGTGAGAAGCTTGTTTTGGGTGCTCTGTAAAGTCCTGGAAGTTTACGTGTTAAGGAGAAAGTGTTGTATCAAGAGATCCTGTTGTAAAGCTAGTTTGTTTCTTTTTCTTCCTGAGGCTGTCTTTCAAGACAGCTGCCATGCTGCCACACCAGGCTATCCGTCATGGCCCTGGTGGCGTGCACAGTGCCTCGCGTGCTCTCCATCTTGCCTGGGGTCTGTAACGTCCCGAAGAGCTGGAAACGTCGACCCTGAGCAGCGAGGCCTGGCGTAACTGCGGTGGTTTCTACGGAACCGCCTCTGTCAGCTGAGGCGGTGCTGCCTTCGGCCCGCTCGTGTGCAGGCAGAGGACAGGAGAGAGGCCCTGCCCCAGAGCGGGCAGTTTCTTTTCAGAAATGTCTTAGGAAAGGAGATAAGCAAACCTTTTGTGTTTGGTATAGTTTGGGCTTCTTTTGCACAATCGGTATTTGCTGTGTTGAGCAGGCCCGGGGCTGGAATAGCAGGATTATTGCAACAGGATTGAGTCACACCAATGGAATTGCCTAGTTTTCTCCATGACTAGTTAGTCTCTGCTCTGGCTTGAATGTTCACTTCTCTTGTCTTCATCACCCTGAACACGCATTAATTGTTTTAAGGCTGTTGAGA